AATGCATGCAAGTGTTCAAGCGGGCGACGGTACCACTACCAGTGTTGGGCGAAAAATTAGATGTGATCATTGACATTAAAGATCGAACCCTGATGTAAGGCATAACCACCCACCCAAATGTGGTTATGTTTCTTATTCATAAACATACAAAGAGCTTTTAAGATCCCCGGATGGTTTGGAAAGAAACTGTGTCTGTATTATGGGTTGTAGAGTGCTATCCGTTTCTCAACTATGTCAAGATTCCATTGTCATTTCACATTAAATTTGTTAAATTATAATATATATAAATACGCATAATAAAATTATACTAAAATTTTAACCAATTAAAAAAAATTATCTATTAATTATTAATATAATAAAAATTATAAAATTTAATATATTAATATATAAAAATAGTATTATTCTATAATTATTATACTCCCTCCGTCCCGTTGAAAGGTTACCATTTTTCATTTTTGTTCGTCCCAAAACAGAATCACAATTTTCTAGTTTAGTAATTATATTACCTACCTGAAATGATAAATATTCTTCCAACTTACAATATATTACACAAATGACATTACTTTTATATTACACAGTACTATTATAGATATTTTTATTTTTATTTTTTTTTACTACAACTCAATATAATAGTAATTTAAAAATTCACTAGCAAAAAGTAAACGGCAAACTTTCAATAGGACGGTGGGAGTACATCATTAATTATATAAAATATATAACGATGATGAAAACGAACATGACGGGAATGAAGATGAAAATAATAAATAGTTCAATGTATTTTTTAACAATTACATTTTTTTTGTATTTTTATTTAATTATTTATACAATTTTTTTATTTACAAATGTATTTCATATAAATTTATAAAAATTATATAATTTAATAAAAAATTATTTTACATTATTATATAAAATTTGTATAAATCCATAAACAATCCAATCAAATATATATATAAATACATTTAAATCAATACATAAAATCCATCAAATTCTACGTAAACTATGTGGATTTTCTAAATCCACATAAATTCATAAACTTTTAAAATTCAATAAAATCTCAAATAAATACACCTTCTAAATCTAAATTTAAAATATCTCAACAATAAAGATATCCTATATATGTAAGTAATTCTTGAAATACAAATAATTAAATTAATAACAATAAGAAATTAAAAAGTAAAGTTCAAATGGAATATATATATATATATCTCTATATATACACATTAATAATGTATTTCCAATATTAACAATAATATTACATGAAAAATTGATGCAAGAATGATTATTAATGTTAACAATAAAAATAGCTCGAGTGTGCATTCATCAGCCAACAAGCCAATCTTTCATTAATCTAATAATGTTTCGTGTATATTGTGTTTTTCTCTTCACTCGATTATTAGCAATTGCAAATTCCCACATAATAATAATAATAATAATAATAATAATAATAATAATAATAATAATAATAATATGATACGCATGAATCAATTTATCGAAATATTGGAGATGAAAATGAGATGTCGACAAATACTGATTCATATTATGGCAACATTCTCCGACGGACATTAATGTTGGACAAGATATATATTTTTTTGGTGCATCCCATGTGGTCGTCATCGCCGTCACCATGGATGCCAACATCGCGGATCGGAGCTCCTCCACAACTTAATAATTAGAAGACTATATATAGAAGCTAGAAAATAAACGGGGGTTTGTTGGCTTAATTGTGAATTGTGGTAATATTTCATCTAGAATTGGAATAAGATTGATTCGTACTATTTATTTATTCAAATAAGCGATAGAATCATATGACTATACAAGTTTTCAACTTCTTATGTTAACATACAAACTTAAACATTGTTTGCAAAAATTTAATAGCATTCATTAGGGATCATTAAAAATTAAATTAACTTGCACATCTAAAATTATTTACTTTAGGATATTATTGTTGCTCCAAATAATTATAAGCAACAAACAAAAGTTGTAAAATTTAAAGTGTAAAATTGCTCATAATTCTCTTATGGTTTCGAAACTCAGCGTAAAATCTACTTTTAAAATTGTATGACGCCCTTTATATTTTCAAAATTGATTTCCTATCTATACTTTTTTGAATGGCGGAGGAATTTCATGCAACATTTATAAAGTATAAAGGGATGTCATACAATTTTTAAAATAAAATAGTGATTTATACTGAGTTTCGAATACTATAAAGGGGTTTTATGAAACATTTTTTAAAATATAGGGTAAATTGTTATTTTAGTCCCGTAACTGGACCTTTTTATTATTTTAGTCCCGTAAATGGAGCCTGTCGCAAACTAGTCCCATAAGTGAAAAATTTTCGCTGTTTTAGTCCTCCGGCGCCGGAGACGCCCGCGTGGCTCGCCGGAGGTGACGTGTCCGCCAGGTGTCGTTGCGGGACACCTGGCGGATATGTAGATTTATTATTTTTTTAAAATTTTTTTAATTTTTTTTTAATTGGACCAAATAAAAAAATTAAAAAAAATTAAAAATAAGTTTTAAAAAAATATAAAAAAATGAAAAAAAAATAAAAAGATCCACGTGTCCGCCAGGTCAGCGACACCTGGCGGACACGTCACCTCTGGCAAGCCACGCAGGTATCTCCAGCGCCGGAGGACCAAAACAGCGAAAATTTTTCACTTACACCTGGCGGACACGTCACCTCTGGCGAGCCACGCAGGTATCTCCAGCGCCGGAGGACCAAAACAGCGAAAATTTTTCACTTACGGGACTAGTTTGCGACATGCTCCAGTTACGGGACTAAAATGATAAGGGGGTCCAGTTACGGGAATAAACAAATAATTTACCCTAAAATATAAAGTAAAATAATTAGATATTTATGTTGAGTTTCCAAACTACAAGTGAATTATGGATAATTTTGCCAATTTAAAATTAACGTTAGAACTTGTAAAAAAAGAAAGAAAAGATGAATACACATATATCATTTGTATTATAAAATGAAGATGAAAATTCATGACTGTGAAATTCATATTAAAAGTTGTGAGATCAACACCGACATACATAATAATTTGATGAAATGCTAATCCTAATTATACAATATCATAGCACAACAAAGAGATATAATACGTGATTAAATTTCCTTTTTGGAAATCAACACGAATAAAATAGTCTTTACACCAATATTTTCACATTAATATTATTCATTTTAAAGATAAAATAGCCTTTACAATGGGTTCAAATCCTTTTGAAGTTCCGTTAGAGTTTACCCAGAGCACACTCGTCGAATAGCGTTTGTGGGTTTCCACGTTATCAAAATATCAAAATTATCGCCAATTATTATTGAAATACAATAATTATTACTTCGTGCAAAAAAAAAAAAAAATATTTACCTTCAAATTGATGGATAAAATATATTATTGTCATTAAATATTACTCTATCTATTATTAAAATTTGTTTTTTTTTTTTTTTTTTTACATAGAAAATATTTTGGAACGTTTGTTTTGTAAAATGATTTAATATATATATTATATGAAGTTTAGAGAATTATATAAATAATATAAAAATAATTATCTACCAATATAAAAACTTTTATCCAAAAATATAAATAAATTTTGACACAAAAGTAGGGAATATATCTTATAGTATTTACAAATATATTTTATACCTTGAATATTAGTTGGGATAGAATTGCAATTATTATTATCAGATTGAAAGGATCTCAAAATTATCTTAATTGTTGTTACAAATATATGTTTAAATTGGCCAATCTGATTACAGTAAGTTATTGCAATAGTTAAAAGCAAATATCATTATTAATTATAAAGAATAATGACCATAATAAACATATATAATTTCGTCTAATAAAATATTGTATCAAAATATTATTTAGATTAAAATTAGAATTAAAATTAAAATCTCAATTTTAAACATAAACCAAACAAAATATTTTGTAAAAATAAATATTTTTTATTAAAAAATATAATAATAATTTTAGATTTATATTTTGAATAATAAAAAGTTAAATTGAAATACTTATTTAATCTAATATTTTAAATATAAAATTAATTTTTAATATAATATAATAAATAAAAAATAAAAACTTAATAGGACGCTTTTGAAAAAAAAAATAATAGTAAAATATATTCTACAATCTCATAAACAAGGATATATTTTTAATTCGGAGAAATAAAAGTGATTATTAATTGAACTTGAGATTCAACCCTCAAGTTAGGAATGTCTTAATTTCATGTGTATTTGATTCATTTCTCACATAGACCTGTGCAATGGTTAAGAATGTATTTGTTTTGTAATAAAGATAATTTTTTTGATGTAAAAAATAAAAAATTGTGTAAAAAAATATAAAAATAATAAATATACTTGATATATTAATATTTTTAAACAAATATGTAATATAAAAATACGAGAAATATGAAAGAAAATCAACTCACTCTTGAACGTCTATTGATTCATTTTCCACGTAGACTTTGCACGGACTAAGAATGTGTTTGTACCGTGAGATAATTCAAATGATACTCTATTCGTCTAAAACAAGGTGCAACATTTGTTTTAGGCACAGATTTTTAGGTGGGTAGTATTAAGTAGGATAATTTAGAAATTAAATGATGTAACGGAGAGAAATGTATATTTTATTTTTTTTATTTGGATGATGAAATGTGATAAAGTGTGGGGTATAGATTAAATATAATTAATTATTTCTTATTTTGGAAATGTTATAGGATGTTTGAGACATACCAAAAAAAATATTGCACGATGTTTGAGACGGATGGAGTACTTTTTTTATATAATGTATAATAAATTATATAAAAAATATAAAAATAATAAATGTATACTATATATATTAATATTTTTTAGAAAATATATTAAAACATATTTAAATATGGAGCAAAAGCATTGCAAAATTGGGAATGAAAATGAAGAATCCATTGATCAAGCGAGTGGGAAGGTGTGGAGTGTGAATTTAATGGCAGGGACACAGACATGTAAATAAGAAAACGTTCGACGATGTTTTTGGAAATACTTGTCGCCGTGTGCATAAATTAATTACAGGAAATTATATATATAAATATCAAAATAGCACTTAGTAATTTTTATGTCCTCCGCCCTCTGCTCATCATCTCGCCTCTGCCCGCGCCCACGCCCACGCCCACGCCCACCTGAGTGAAATTATCATAAACAGCTTCGTCTTGGGTTTATCTCGCTTGTTCGTTTCGGGTTCTTCGATCTGAATTGGACTGGTGGGTTTTCTCGTTTCTTGATTTTTCTTGCGATGTTCGGTTCGGTTCAGTTTTTTTTTTGATTTCTGTATTTGTTTGTTCCTGGGGTTTTCTGAATTAAGCGGTGGGGGTGGGTTTGGGTGTTTCGGGATGGATTAAGCCGATTCTGATGTCGGTTTTTGGTATTTGATTGGTATTGGCACTTTAAAGTCGCAAAAAATGTTTGGATTGATTGTCGTCGATTTCTTGGAACATGTTTGGGTTTTCTGAGATGTCTGTCTTGCTCTGGAGTGGGTTTTAGTTTTACTGTATGCCTGTTTCTTGTTTTCTTCTTCAATCTGGGGATATAGGAATTAGGGTTTAAAGGAAGATTGTGATTTCTGATGCGGGTTTTTGAGGTTGCGTGCTTTTTAGCGATGGATAATGTTCAGACACTTCCAAAAAATGATATATATAGGATTTGTAGACAGTAAGTCACTTAAGTGACTGAGTTTTCGAAATTGTTAAGGCTACATTACCTGTATTTAGTTTATGTATTCTAAAAGGGATGAGGTGTTTTTTTGTTGTTCCAGATTGTAATGAAAGTTGTAATTTGTTTGGTAACATAAAGAAGGAAAGACGAACTTGAAGAGACGAAAAGAACCAGGTTTCCTCCTGTAACGGGAAGGGCCGTTCACTCGGCCGACATCCAATCAGTAACACTTGTTGCAAAAGAAGAAGATGATGAAGTCTACGATCCAATTCACTAAGAAGCCGTACGTTGAGGACGTTGGTCCTCGAAGGATGTAAGAACACATTTTAAATGTAATGTGGTATTTTCTTTTACTCAAGTATAAAAAGCAATTCGTGCCATTACAATTTCTGCTCAACATGTGATATGATGGAGGGCCATGGATTTGCCAAGAGTCTTGTTGTCTTAATGCAACAATCCAATCTAGGTGAGGATATTGCTCTTGAATATGGGGGTGGACGGGAAATTACGTCCATAACATATCAATAACCCACCCTGCTGGATGAAATTAACATATTATATTCAAGCGTGAGGGACTTTAGGAGTAACGTCCTGAGATTGTGAAATCAAGGACGTGACTGAAGCAATGAGAGAGACTGGTTGATATAGTTCGTACAACATTCTATGCTATTCTATGAGAATACAGAAATTGAATCTTTTGGCCAAAACTGTCTTTAATTTAAGGTGTGAAGTTTGAAAATAATATTTAGTTTCTAATGCGCGGGAATTTTAGGGTTAATTTTCATATCAAGGACGTGAGTGGAGCAATGTGACTGGTTGATATGGTCCAATACAACATCTTAGGGGATAAAAATCCAATTTTTTTTGCTAAAACTTGTTTTTTAGCTTCAGTGATTGATATCTAGTGATAATGTTGGCTAAACAAAAAAAATTTGTAAGAAGTTTGAGTATTTTCCATTGTTGATATGATCCACTTCTTGCCATTTTACAGAGAAAGCATTCAATTCTCAACATTCTCGGGAACTGAAGTACTGAAATCTGCTGCAGTTGAAGTTTCTCTTGGTGTCTATTATGACTCCACTAAAAAGCCTATTGACCATGGCTTGTTAGACCCTCACATGGTATTATGTGGGCCTCTTTCTTTTTCAATTTATCATTGCTCCGAAGCTACAATCTCTTGTTACATAAAAAGTAAACCTTGAATTCTCATCCAAGGCTACTGTGCTTTACATGTTCCTGTGTGCTTTTCAGGGTCCACCAAACAAGTTTGGCTTTTGTAAAACATGCAATGGGAGTTTTCAAGACTGCCCTGGGCATTATGGATATTTAGCTCTTGCTCTGCCTGTGTATAATGTGGGGTATCTAAGTACGATGATAGATATACTAAAATGCATCTGCAAGGTATACAACTTTATACCATATACCTGAATTGAGATAAACGGATTCATCTTTATCTGAGATAATCCAGTATACTAGCATAAAACCTTGCTTTTAATTCAACTTTTGCCTCCTCAGAGTATACAAAGTATCTTTAGATTCAACTTTCAATTGTATTTTACACGACTAATATGAAAATGGTAGGGTTTTCTTTACCAAGTAATGCTTCTGATAGCTGAAGCATCATCGCTTGTCTTTCTTATTTCTTTTCACTCAGAATTGCTCCAGAGTACTTCTTGAGGACAAGGACCGGCAAGAATTTCTGAAGAAGATGAGAAATCCAAAGCTTGAGCCTTTGAAAAAAAATGAGGTACTGAAGGCAGTAGTGAAGAAGTGTAATGCCATGGCAGCAAGTAGGAAAGCTGTTAAGTGCTCCAGATGCGGTTACATAAACGGTTTGGGACCCTAACCACAACAAAGTTCATCTACTTTGTTAATTTCTTAAACTGACTGAGCTCTATGTTGTGACTTTATATGTAAAACTTATTATGAGCAGTTGTAGTCTCAATTTTTATGTATAAGAAATTTCAACTCACCTTAAGAGTGGATTGCGAATGATACTATTGGGTAAAATTTAAATTGAATGACATCTCATAGAAACTTAAAGATTCAATACCTTTACTATTGATATGTTAGCTGAATGTTGCCTTACTGTCTTAGTTGGCCACCATATGAGCCTTTATGTGATTATGAGTTGCCTCCGAGATTAATGTCAATATCTTAAGGGTTTAGCACTGTGTGCTGCCAATTTTCTAAAAGATTTTGGAGGAAATTCAAGTTTTGATGCTTGTCCCCAAGGCCCATGTATGAACTTGTAAATCCTATTTTGATTTTCATAGAAAGCTATGTATTAACAATTCATAGTGTGATTTTTATTGTTGTTCAAAGCTTTGACATTTAATGTGTATCAATATTTTTCTGTCTTCTATCCTCTAGATCAATATTTCAAATAGCCTTTTTCTCTTGGAAGGGAAGCATTATTTGTTGCTTCTCATGGTTGCTGTCTGTTTAACTGTATTCTCTTGATGGGCTTCAAACAATCATTTATTTTAGGCATGGTAAAGAAGGGACCTTTGAGGATCCAGCATGATAGGCCAAAAATTGCTGACAGTTACTTGGATGAATGCCATACTGCTCTTTCCCACACAAAGGAATCAAAGGGAAATGTCAACTTTTCTAATACACTTGACCCTAAAACAGTCTACAGTCTGCTGATAAATATGCTTGACGAGGTACTGCTTTCAATTTTTTTTGATATTTGAATAGTTTGACAAGGCCTATTATACTTTAATTGTGTGTCCCTATAATCATTGATATTCCTAATGTTTCTTTCTTTTTCATTTTTCGCTTGCAGGACTGTGAGTTGCTTTATCTGAGTGACAGACCTGAAAAACTTATTGTTACACATATTCCTGTGCCACCAATTTCAATACGCCCTTCGGTTTTTGTGGATGGAGGAACACAGAGGTAAGCACAACTATTGCATCTGCGTCTATTATGCTAATTATTGTAGTTGTGATATTGTTATTGTGCATGACTATAATTTGTTCAAATTATGTTTCCTTATATATGCTAGTTTCCAATATAGAATAATGACAGAAAAAGTGATGTAAAAGTTGGTCAATTTCACTGGACCAATTGATAGTCATTGCTACAATTACACTCTGAAGGAACATATAATGCTTTTTCACCTGTATGAGATTTTGAGTGATTTCTATGGTTTTTTTCTTTTAACAAAAATTTTTAACACATTTTCCCCAAAAAGTTAATATATTATACACACTCTTTATTTTTATATTATTTACACAATTCCCCATGCCTCACATAAAAAATATCAAAACACAAAACAAAGACACCCTATATAGGTTGGGTGATTCCTAGGGCATGCAACAACATATGCTCTTTCGTGATAATTATCTGTGGCTACCAAGGACTCTGCTGTCATCATGCTGTGAATTCAAAAGGAGCCTTATGTCTCTTGGTCATGAGCAAGGCAGCCTTTTGGTATATCCTGTATAGTAATGCTAATGTTGTCATATCTGCTGTTACTACCACCTTCACTATTGTTATATTTATTGACTTTTGTCTGATGCAGCAATGAGAATGACATTACTGAGAGGCTAAAGCGCATCATCCAAGCAAATGCTAGTCTTAACCAAGAACTTTTGGAACCAAACCTTCATAATAGAAACATGGTAATTTCAGCTTTAATCTGGTTCTTCCTTTCTGACATCTACATTTGAGTTGGGTTCAGTGAAATTAATCCTTATTTTATGTTTCTTTCACATGTCTATGATTGTGGGAATCAAGTATTGGCACGATACAAATGAATGAACAACACAGGCATCATCATCTGATTCAGAGCTTGCATGTTCATTAGATTTCCTCTATGAAATCTATGTCTATATAAATAAAATTTTGAAGCAACAGTGACTAATCTTTTATAACTTATATTATTCACATAAAGCTATAGTTTTATAAATTTAGGTAATTTTTTTGAATCTCTAAGGCCATTTTCAAAAGCTTATTTAAGATTAATTTTTCCGGCATGCTTTTGCAAGTTGGCGGAATTGTGAGTAGCATTGGTGGGTGTGTCACAGTAATTTCATATGTCTAGTGGTGCTTGACTTGATGTTTACTAGAATGCCTGCATAGGCGAGGCATTGCCTTAAAATTCATTTTCCCTTGGGGGTTCTCTGATTATAGATCAGTTTACTATCTTGTTGGTTTGTTCTCACCTTTTCTTTTCACAAAATGTGGGCAGACTAGTTGGGATGATCTACAAATGGAAGTTGCACAATACATAAATAGTGAAGTCCGTGGACTGCCATTTCACATGCAAACTGCCAAGCCATTGAGCGGTTTTGTTCAGCGTCTGAAAGGAAAACAAGGAAGGTTCCGTGGTAATTTATCAGGGAAGCGTGTAGAGTATACCGGAAGGACTGTTATTTCTCCTGACCCAAATTTAAAAATCACTGAGGTATGTGTTTCAAATTAGAAAGCTGAGAACTTTTACCCATTCTCATTTTAACAAGTGAATATTTTGATAGGTTGCTATTCCTCTTCAAATGGCTCAAATTTTAACTTATCCTGAGAGGGTTTCACATCACAATATAGAAAAACTACGTCAGTGCATTCGTAATGGCCCCAACAAGTATCCTGGTGCAAAGTTTATAAGACATCCAGATGGTACTCAGATGTAAGTGTTATTATATTTACACTTTTTATCTGTTGCTTTTGGTGACATGCTTAGCTTTTGTTGCTAGTTAATCTATTTTTTATTTTTGTTGCAGATCACTAATGTTCTCTTCCAGAAAACGTCATGCGGATGAACTGAAATATGGTTACATTGTGGATCGGCATCTTGAAGATGGAGATATGGTTTTATTCAATAGACAACCAAGTTTGCATCGAATGTCACTCATGTGCCACAGGGTAAATACTGCATATATATAATAGTATTCAATGTGTTTTTGCATAATGTTGTTGTTGGTTGACTCTCGTAAAATATAAATAAACAAAAGATGCGTATTCCTACTAGCCTAAATTTTTAGATGAGACGGCTATTTACATCATCTAACATGATATCAAACCCGAAAAGTCCTGTGTTTGAGTCCCATCGCCCTCATTCGTCTTTTTGCACGTGCAAGATTTGTATGGTGGCGTATATCCCTTTGCATGTGAGGAGGCGTTGGTTGACTCCCGTAAAATATAAATAAATAAATAACACGTATCGCTACTAGCTTAAGCTTTTAGGTGGGACGATCATTAAATGATCTAATAGTTGCATTTATTGTTCACCAGGCAGTTATAATGCCTTGGCGCACCTTGAGATTCAATGAATCAGTTTGCAATCCGTACAATGCTGATTTTGATGGTGATGAGATGAATATGCATGTGCCGCAAACTGAAGAGGCCCGCACTGAAGCTCTTATGTTAATGGGGGTAATTACTGCTTGGCGTTTAATTATCTTTTTTCTTTGGCTACTCAGTGAGAATAATTCTGCTCGTGAGATGCTTCCAGTTGTTTTACATAATGTATTCTTGTGACTTCTATTATATGTTTTTTGAACCTGATAACAATAACCCTATCGGTACCTTTTCAATTGTATATGGTGTGAAAACCATCTTATAACCTCATCCTTCTCATCTTTTTATCTGTGTCCTTTATCATTCTACTACTTGCCATGGATAATAGTTATCCTTGATTTTACTAATATTTCAGACGCGATTTTTAATGGATTAATTGGTAACTATGTCAAGGTAGCTGGTCTTTTGGTTGATATTTCATTTGTCTCCTGTTGATTCTTATTGACATTGGTGCAGGTACAAAACAATTTATGCACCCCCAAAAATGGAGAAATATTGGTTGCTTCAACACAAGATTTTTTGACGACATCTTTTCTTGTGACAAGAAAAGATACCTTTTATAATAGATCAACATTTTCACTTATATGTTCCTATATGGGCGATGGAATAGACCCGGTTGATTTACCAACACCTGCCTTAGTTAAGGTGAATTTACCAACATCCTTTCCTGTCCTTGTCCTTTAGTGAGACATTGTCCCTTCTTTAACATAATTGCTAGTATTCAGCAGACATGCTGGTCTTTGATCCAGTGCTTGGCATATATGATTGTTTCTAATTTTTTACCTTTTTTTCCTTCTCATTGCAGCCACAGGAGCTTTGGACTGGTAAACAGTTGTTTAGTGTACTATTGCGTCCACCTGCAAAAGTGAGAGTGTATGTTAATCTTACAGTTAAAGAAAAAGGTTATTCAAAATCTGGAGAGACAATGTGCCCATATGATGGATTTGTTTATATCCGTAATAGCGAGCTACTTAGCGGTCAACTGGGGAAAGCTACATTAGGTTTGTCTCTAGTATTTGGTCTAAATGACTCTTAATAAAGATGTCGTTACTAATTAGCTTATCTTTGCAATATGACAAAAGGAAATGGAAATAAAGATGGCCTTTATTCCGTTCTTCTCCGGGATTATAAATCACATTCAGCTGCTGCTTGTATGAATCGGCTAGCAAAATTAAGGTGAGACTATTAATGGCCTGGTAATTTTTCAATAATGTACATTAATGATTTTCATTCTATTAATTATTTTTGGATATAATAAGGTGAGAGTATTAATGGCCTGGTAATTGTTTCATCATGTATAGACGTTTTGAATAATTTTTATTCTATTAAAATATGTGAGTAATTGATCTCATCAATTTTTTTTCTAAGTATTGCATTTTTGGATATAATTTCATTTAATTGGATTTAGTCATAGACTTCCTGTATAAAGATATTAAATTGATAGTTCTGGAATTCTTTGCATCGTTTTCTTATGATTAGAATTCCTTTCAACTTTAAAATGTTCTATCTCCAAGATTCTCAAGTAGATTCTTTGAATGGATTGCATTGTGTAATCCTAATTTTGGAATCTCCTTTGTACATTCTTCTGTGGGATGGGGGACATATAAAAAATCTGTAAAATTCTCACATTGCGGAAAAGGATACAAAATATATATGCACTGACCCTCAAGATCAGTATATTTTTTACTCCAATAGATCAACCATAAAACTGCAGCTTTCAACAGAGGAAATTCTAGATTTATATGTTCATCATAATTAATGGGATGGTGGAACATCTTTAGTGAATTGGTTGATTCTGTTTTGGTTCTAACTTAAATGGCACACCTTTTAACCGGCCAACACTGTGAGAAAAAGAGAATGATCTAAAGACTTAGCAATACTCTACAACAGTCAATCATTATGAAAATTTTAGATTAGTTTCTATGAATTTGTTAACCAAAACAAAGAGATGATTATGCATCTTAATAAAGTTATATAAAGTTCAGTTTGCAGGTGAAAAGATAAACGAACCATACAAACTATGAGGACTTTCAGATTGGAAAGGAATCCTAATGTATCATTTAGAAATTTGTCGTTTTGTTTTTGGTATGCATGTGATGTTAATGAACGTTAATCAATATTCGTTCTTCATTATTACAGATGGGCTGAATATTATCTTTTGTTATCTTCGTTTTTCAGTGCTAGATGGATTGGAAATCATGGATTCTCTATAGGAATAAATGATGTTCAACCTGGGGTTGTATTAAACAAGGAAAAAAAGGCTACTATTGATAAGGAATATGGTATTTGTACCGACTATATAGATGGATACAAATCTGGATGTTTGGACCTGCTACCAGGCTGCAATAGTGCTGAGACTCTCGAAGCTAAGATCACTGGAACCCTGAATGATATTCGAGAAAGAATTGCAAATGTATGGATATGTGTTAATTTGTTTTACAAATGTATGACATTGATATCTATCTGAATAATCCAAATGTTTTTATATGTTCACATGAATAATTGTAGAGTATTATTGCTTTCTTAATACAGAAATATATATTGACATTCCTGGTTGTGCCTCGAGTAGTTTCTGATTTATTTTATTCATGATTTTTGGATAAATGTTATTTTTTTTTATAAACTCTCATTCTATTTATACTTGTGCCTTCTAGACTTGATTAGGATATTATTTGTTTCATGACCCGAAGATTTAGGATGTAGAATGCGAGAAGAACAATGAGTGTGAAGCGCCTGTAAATCTAAGCTATTAAGAGGTTTATTGTTGTGATATACATCTTATGTTTGCTCCAAAAACTAGCAATATTAATTTTATTTTAGAAATTTATAGTATTTGTTCAATTTGTACATTTGCATTTTAGCCTGCTATACCTGATGGATGCTGTGACCCTTATTCTTCTTAAATTGTTCTGATAGGTTTGTATGAAGAACTTAACTTGGAGAAATAGCCCCCTAATTATGTCCCAGTGCGGTTCAAAAGGGTCTCCGATTAACATTTGTCAGATGATTGCATGTGTTGGCCAGCAATCTGTTGGAGGCCGTAGGGCTCCGAATGGATTCGTTGATCGAACTCTGCCTCATTTTGGAAGAGGAGCCAAGGACCCAGATGTTTGTATTTTCTTTTAATATTATTTTTATGATTATTTACAAAGAAGTTGTCTTAGTATTTGGGATTTATTTTGTGTTGGCCAGATTAGGCCTCAATCACTTAATTTATATGGCATATACTTAACCGAGGCATATCTACCTCATCTACGCTTCACATATCAGCATCCACTAGAAACATAAGTATCTGAGTTCTAAAGAAAATATTGAAACATAGAGAGAATGAAGTATCCAATGAGTCATCTCCATTTCTTGATTATTACCACTTATGATTGTTGTATCTTTGTTATTTGCAATAATTTTTAACAATTTTCACTATTGTGATGAGCTATCCCATAAACTTTTTGTTTATACACTCAATTTTAAATTTATAGTCCAGGCAAAGGTGGTTTCTTTTATTATTACTATATTTTGAATATTTGTACTTTGGATTCAGGCAAAAGGCTTTGTTCAGAATTCCTTTTACAATGGTTTATCAGCAACTGAGTTCTTTTTCCACACCATGGGAGGGAGAGAAGGTCTTGTTGATACTGCGGTACGTTTGATCTCTTACTCTTCTTCATCGAAGGCATGAAGTTGTTAAGTAAATTGTCATCAATCATTAATTTTGAAATGTTCAACTTAGTTACATTAAAATCCTAAATAATTGCATGTGTGCGCTCAAAAGAAACATGGTCTCATCATTCTCTGTTTAACTAATTTGGTCTACTCTTGGATATATGTCTATTATTTAAGAAACATGCATATCTATACAAAAAAATATAATGTTTTTAACATAACACATCTCAATGTGACTGGTATCTCCTTATGGAGCATTTGGGCCGTATCGATGCAACTTTGCAAAACAGTCCTGTTATTATTTTTCAGAGTCATAACTTGAATCCGTGAAAAATTGTGGAGCTTAGCTGCTCATTTAGACCCCAAAATTTCGAGTGAGCCCAGTGCAGTAGCTAGGAAATTTGTAAAATCCCATGCAAGAAGTTACCACAATGTCCATAAATTATTTACTTTCATCCATAAGTAGGGAGGCGGACCTACTGGAATTCATGTCATGTAGAAAACAGAATTGAGAGTAAATAAATGAGCATATTACTACAAAAGGAAAACCTGTATAAAAAGAGTGGGTTTGGATTTTATAAGAAACGAGCATAATATCTAATATATTTAATCTCATATCTAGATCTATTCAATTACACATCTTAGCTTTCCCTCATTACAAGATACAAAATTACAAATCAATCAAGAGAGAATGATGAGATTTATACCCAGTGCAAGCATTCAGACCACTTTTACTGCAGCAATACAATTTTTTAGTGTAATCCATATCAACTTCTATATTTTATTTTTGGGCTCAACCTATTTTATCAAGTCATTTTCTTATAGTGAATATGTCACTATCTGTGCATGATCATTTAGATGCTCCTTGGTGCTGCAACCCAAGTTCTTTTGCTGTGGCAGGTTAAAACTGCTGACACAGGTTATATGTCCCGTAGACTTATGAAAGCTTTAGAGGACCTATACATTCAGTATGATGGAACAGTTAGAAATGCTAGTTCTTGCATTGTACAATTTAAGTATGGGAGTGATGGTATGGATCCTGCACAGATGGAAGATAAAAAGGGGCACCCTCTGAACTTTGAAAGGTTGTTTATGAAAGCTAAGGTATTGTCACAATCCTTTATCTGTTTTACGAGTATTATTTAAATATATTCATGGTCAACAGGTCTTGAAGTATCACTTTATTCTTTTTTAAATAATTGTACAGGCCACCTGCCCTGCAAGAGACCAAAAGAGTTTAAAAATTGAAGAAATTGAGAAAATAGTTGATCAGACTATTGATGAGAAACTCTCAATATCAATTTTACCTGAAGGTGATTTGCCGTCAAAAGAGGATTCAGATAGTTTTGGTAACTCATTAAAGCGTTTCATCAAGAAGGATGTTTATCCACGATCACTTATTGCGATGAAATTGAATGAAGAGCAATATTCTGAAGAAGATAGGAGTTATTTAGACGACCTGGCCTCAAGAATTTATGGAATTACTAGGCAACAGCTAATGGTAATGTATTTTCCCACAATTTCACCTATTCACTTCATTATGATATAGAATTTATCCTTACTTCACCTAATTGCTCAAAGATTTAATTCCATTCTTATGTGGCCATGCCTCAAACGTTATTATAAAACTCTTCTAATGAAGCACAACTGTAGAAAATGATTAATGTGAAAGACGAAGGATTGATGCATGCGGGGGCTATCGTCTGTTGTGAGTAATTTTATATGTTTATTTACGAAAAACTGATTTCAGCGAGTTTGTGCACACCTGAAACAGAGATGCATAGAAAAGCTCTAATGGTTTGTGTTTACTGGAGTAAACTTCTTTGGGCGAACAATATTACACTTCCAATTTTTGTTTTCTGATTTTGACTGTTCTCAACTCTATCAAATTGAATTAAGTTCGAGAAGTATCGTATTAGTTTAATATTATTGATGCTGCCAATGCTTCTGTGCGGCTTTTAAGATGTATGGTTCATCTCTCTTACGAGCAATGATGAGTTTCTTGAATGGCTTTCTTTGTGTCAGTTCTGTATTGCTCATATATCTGTATATTACATAGGAAACATGCCTGGTAAACTTTTGTAATATTGCATTTGAAGTGACCGTAATATTATGCTTTAGGTCTTCCTAGAAACCTGCATCTCTCGTTACAACTCAAAGAAAACTGAAGCTGGTACGGCAATAGGTGCAATTGGTGCCCAGAGTATTGGAGAGCCTGGAACACAAATGACATTGAAAACTTTCCACTTTGCTGGCGTTGCTAGCATGAGTATCCTTTTATTGATTTTCTGTTATATACATTCGAGTGTTTTACCAACATTTTCATTTGTATTCTCGACTTTGGCTATTTGTAACTTAACCTTGTAATAGATGTCACCCTGGGAGTTCCACGAATAAAAGAAATTATTAATGCAGCAAAAAGAATCAATACCCCAATTATCAAGACAAAGCTGCAATTAGTTGACAGTGACATATTTGCCAAAGTAGTGAAGGGACATATTGAGAAAACCCTTTTGGAGCAGGTAAATAATATCCATTTGATACTGTGGTGTACAATATTGTTGTTTTCCTGACATGCTTGAACAGTAAGTATATAAATCATTCTTGCACACAAAGTCAACATGTTTCCATCTTCCTCAAAATGCATGGAATGATTACAATTTTATTTTTTTAAAAAACCACTTCTAGCTCAAGTTTTTTTTTTTTTTTTTTTCTTTTTTTTTTTTACGTTAGTGTCTAAATTATTTTACTATATGTAACTACATATCTTAGTAGCATTCATTGTAGAAGTACTATTTCAGTATTTGAACTCACTTGGTTTCTTTGCTTTTTAGGTGGCTAAGTATATAAGGATTAAAAAAGTCTCTAGATCAGTGTCTATCGTCATTAGACTTGACATGACAAGGATAAATGGTGCTCAACTTTCCATCAACGCCGATACTGTGAAAAAAGCAATTCTACAAACTCCAAAAATGAAACTGAAAGAGCAGGTGCAATATACTTAATTGCTTGTTGTTTGTGTTTGTGTACTATGGAATATATGAACATAAGTTTTGGGTGTTTGTATATAATTCATTAGTCTTCTGATTAATATCCATGTCTTTGTTGCAGCAAGTCAAGGTATTGGGTGACTGGAAATTGGAAGTTGTTCTGTATACTGATAGAAATAAACTCCAATTTGAACTCGATGCACTTAAAAGTAAGCTGGCCAAAGTAGTTGTGAAGGTGAGACACTTGGGAGTTCAAAAACCCAAGATTAATTTTTCCTGAGCAAATTATATTCCCATTTTACATTGCACTTCTTCTTTGATTGTTTTTCTTATTTACCTCAGTGTTTTTGTGTTACAGTACTTTTTTCCTAGAGTCTTATCTGTTTCGCTTCTAATCTTTAATGAATTGCAGGGAATAAACACTGTTGAACGTGCTATAATAGTGAATAAACCCAAGAAGAAAGATCCACATAGCAAAAACTTGAAGTTAGTGGTAGAGGGGTAAGTTTCAGAGAAGTATCAAAGAATTCGTTATAATAGTTATGTCAGTTGTTTGAAAAGATTTGTCAGTTTTCCTTTCAGCTTAAATGGTTTCTTGGGTACCATTGATATGGAAATCCATCAAATGTGTAACTACCCTAGTTGCAATGTATTACACTTGGATTTGTTGAATATATGATTTATGTTAGGTAATGGGTCCAAAATTACAATTTCTTTTGAATGGTAATAGAAAGTAGGCTGTATTAAGATGGGCACTCACGAAAAAAAAAAAAAAGAAAAGAAAAATATGAGGAGAGTAAAATATATAATTTAATGTAAGATGCATAATGTAAACTTAGTGGACACTGAAGTGTCATGCAGGCAATTTAGCTTGGAAGTATTGAATGATTTAATCAACTAGATACTTTACTCATGTTTAACTTTTATCTAATTAGAGCCTTTTCATTAAGTATTATACTAATTAACTATATCTTATGCACCTAGAATGTGTGGGACAGTTCTTGTGTTAAATGTTTCAAGGAACTCTTTGTTACAGTCGTCTCATTTTCGTGAAATATATCATGCTAGGCAGAAAAGGAATATTGAAATATCAACCTTCCTGTAGTAAGGGCAAGGGTAAAATCATGGTCCCTGACAATTTTGCACATGCAGGACTGGTCTTCTATCTGTCTTGGGCATTGATGGAGTTGATGCGCAGAAGACCAAAAGCAACCACATCATAGAAGTACAGCAAACTCTAGGAATTGAAGCTGCAAGAAAGCAGATTATTAAAGAGATAAATATCACTATGATGAGGCATAGTATGACCATAGACATACGTCATATGATGCTGCTGGCAGATTTAATGACATTTAAGGTCATCTCATCATCACATCTTTTATAAATTTACTTGTTTTAACTTGTGTGATGTGGTGTGCATTCTTGCTATCATTGCAAAGAAAAGCATACGACAAATGGACGTCTGCCTTAACGTAGGAAGCAAACTTTCCAGCCGTTATTCATCGGTTAAATAGGATATTTTCTGTTCTTTTTAGTTATTTCTTTTGCTTCTTTTCTTTACATTTATTTTTGTATATTACCTAATACAAGTAGGAATCACTGTGTGTTGCATAACATATGTATGCAGTTGTTATGATTGCCCGACTTTATGAAATAATTTCCAAATCATATAAGGTCTAGAAGAGGAGAAAGGTTGTCCAGAATGAGAAAAAAGAAGCTTGAAAGTACTTATTAAGATTTAATCAAGAATATACAAAGTCAAATCTTTCATTTTCCTCTTATGCAAGTCAAACTAGCTACTTAGAAAACATCAGTCATTGTGTCTCTTGTCATGGATTGAGGCTCTGTGCCATGTTATATGGTGTTTTATAACTGTTATACTTCCATTATTTGTTTATTTTTTATGTTATATTATGTTCTCTTAAAATAATACATGTTTCATAATTTGATAATCTCAGGGTGAGGTTTTGGGAATAACAAGACATGGTGTGCAAAGAATGAAAGATAGTGTACTGATGCTTGCTTCATTTGAAAAGACGTCAGATCACCTTTTCAATGCTTCTGTAAATGGAAGGCTGGATAAGATTGAAGGAGTTAGTGAATGCATCATTATGGGTATCCCAATGCCGGTTGGCACTGGAATGCTTAAAGTTAGGCAAAGGTGAGTTTATAACTTTGCAGAACCTGAACTGTGTATACTTCACCTTCCTCAGATTTCATAATTGATCTCATCTTGAAGTAGCTGCTTCACATTATCCATGTTTTTTCCACTCTGGATCTTCTAATCTGCTTTGAATCTGATTTAGGGAATTAGTCAACCACCACTATAATCAATCGTTGATCCAATTTCAAACTAAAATTGCCTTTTAGCTCTATGAGGATGATGTTGTAGACATTTGTTGCTTGGGCTACCATGGTGCTTCTGCCTCCTCATCTTTTATTTGGCTTTTACTGTTTCCATTGTACTTCTACTTAAATTTTCAGTTCTATGGTTATAATGGTTTTTTATCAGCTTGTTGCATTCTTTAAGTTCTTAAAGCAAAATGCTAAACACCCTAGTTCCAAATATTGTAAATGTTTGAATTCACTATGACTCAAGTAGTATTAATCTCTTATCCTTTTTCAGGATCTCATATTTCTATAGGTATAGAACTCTGTAGAAAAATCATCCTGCGCTTTGCTAAATTCATCTTTCGGTGTCTTTAATTGGATTATATTGATCTTTATTTCTATAGAATCAGGTTTGGAAAATAAAATTCATTTATAGTGATATGTTCATTTGTGGGATGTTTTTAATTGATCCATGGAAAGCTTAGTCACATCTTCTGCATGCATGCTTATTGGACTTATACTTTATTTTAGGTATAAATGAGTACGATGTATGTTATATGTCCGGAAAAATCCACTAATCTATATTAATATATGAGTCTTTAAAGTGTATCCTTCTTTGTATTAAATTTGAAAGCAACACCCACTCCTCCGTCGCATATGCATCACAGTTCTTGTTGCATTTTTTAACTTTTGGAGTTCTATCTAATATATTTCTTTGTCATCTATGCAGTGTTCCGCCAGTTGAGTTAGTTTATGGTCCAGATCCAATTATATGCTGAAATTTTCTGAAGACCTCTGTACTTTCAAGGGGCATTGCATTTGGTCCTGGAAGTTGAAATATATTAGAAGAGCCAATAATTCATTCTGCATGTGTACATAGTACAAGTAAGTTACGATCCTAATTTTTCCAGATGAAACTAAATATCTCGACAAGCTGCAAAGGTTAATTTGATCGAACAGACCCACGAGTTACATGTGAAAACATTCTGTTCTGCAGATTTCTCATCTAAATTATATAATATTTTAGCTATTGGTCCCAAAATCATCCCTGTCCTAGTTTGCTTATGTGGGTTGCTTTCTGTGAATGGTGCTTACTGGTTATCAGGATCTCACATTGGCTTGTTAGAGTGTTGGAATTCACTTATATTGATTGATGTATCGCATGATTGCTATTATAAATAAAACTGCCTGTGGTGTTGTTCTATCTTGCAGGCTTTTAATTGTGTATATTTTGGAAGTAGGATCGAATTGGTGATTACAAATTTGATAGCGGTCAAGAGCCATTGAAGGCATGCGTCACTAGGGACTGAGGCAAGATCAATGCTTCATTATTAGTCAGATAGATATCATTGTTGTTCTTCTTGCCCTTGTATCTTTATTGAGAATGTAGACTTGAGCGCTTCAACTCTTGCTCCCATTTATTCTATAATATTTTTATTTTTATTCTATTTTTATGGTCATATCCATTGTTGTTAATAGTTAGCTAGCTCATAATGGTGCTAATATTGGTGTTGTGGAGCGGAGCAGCAGTTTATTACTAGGCTCCTCTGCTGCTTTGTGATTAGAGTTAAATGAACAAAGTCAGTCACGCAGTGGGTTGGGTTGGAGCTATAAATAACGAATCATTTAAGGAGTTTAGAGTTCCACAAGTTGATATCAACTTTAATGGTCATTCATGTATTGAAGGGTTCCGATAGTGGGTTTCAAGAAGTTATAAACTCTTTACGGAGTCTCCTTATTTCTTGTCCATGTCTCTCTCTTATATATTCCTTCAATTTTTTAACTGAGTGTCATTTTAAAACAAAACTGAAATTGTGATTGAAATTTGCAAACACAACCAAAACTACCAGACGCTAGATTAAAAATAATAGAATATTTAGGTTCCAATTTACTCAGAGTCCAATCGATGAGTAGCTGTTTGCGGGTGTTCTGCATTATTATAAAAACAATAGAATATTTCCAAATGTTTAATAAGAAAATACTAGATATTTAATTAGAAAATACTAGATATTTGGAATGTGTCTAGGAAATAAATAAAGCTCTTAACGATCCGAGCCGAGCCGAGCTAAATTTTAAGTGTTTGTTAACATTTACGAACAAGGTTTGTGTTTGTTCGTTAAGCTTTCGAGCTCGGTTCGTTGAAAATTTTTGTTGTTTGAGCTCGTGTTCATGTTCGTTATCATACTCCCTGAATTGATGCATGTTAATAATTACTTTTGTGAGAAAATATGCTGCTTTTCTTGCTTTAGTTTTATTAACGATGAAATATATGAACGTTGCAAACAAATAATAAATGACATGACATGACATGAAGAAACAATGAATATTCAAGAAAAATGCATGCATCATACATTACCTGTGTCATCTTCGTACAATCAAGGTACACAGGCCTAATTTCAAATGTTATATTTTTTATCAATGGATGTGTTTTGGTGTTCATGGTTAATCATACTTTTTGGTTTATATATGTATATGCAGCTCACTCAACATCGTTGCCTTCACCAAAATACTCAAGAAATTCGATAAGGTAATTAGCCTTAATTGGGCATATAATCTAGATATCTCAGAAACTTTTTGATGAATCTTTATGGGGTTGTGGTGGCCTTTTTCTTCTGTCTGACCATCACAGGTTACGCATGGGCAAGCATGCGGGAGTTCGTATCTTAAGGTTGTCAAGAGATCACATTTCATTAGCTCAGATAAGGTAATTAGATACAAATTATAACATAATATAGATATACGTAGGTGTGTTTGAGTACATGCATATATATGTGTCTGCATGTCTCGATATATATGTGGAATCTATTTTGTGTTAATCATTAATTCACGGTTGCATAATCTCTATGTGTTGGATGATTGCATGTGGTTTCTTCATTGAGTAATCTTCACAACACAATTATATAGGAATTTGTATGAAATTGCCCAAAGTGGCTAGCCTAGAGAACATCACGACATGGATTTTCTGATTGATTCTCCCTCCTGGTGCAAATCAAGAAGACCAAATTCATGTATCTTAAAGTCCAAATCTGAATGGAACTTAGTGGCATTTGAATAGACAGTGAGAAATATACATACATATATATATATATAGATATATATATGTATAATGTTATTTGTGGTTGTGCAAAGGTTGTAAGACTAATGGACGAAGTGGAGTCATTCACACAGCACTTTGCCAACAGTGACAGGAAAAAGGCCATGAAGTTCTTGCGACCCCAACACCCAAATGACTCTCACATGGTTACTTTTTTTGTAGGTAACGACAATATTCCATCTTTAAAAGAAGAAATTAAAAATGAAATTCAACTTTCCTTTTCCGAATGATTTCATTGGTAAAAATATGATGTTGTGGGTTTCTACTTCAGGTTTGTTCACAGGGAGTTTTGTCACATTGTTTGGTGTGTATGCCACGTTAGCACATCTCAGTGGTATGTACTCGTATGATTACTTGGAAATGGTCTATCCTGTTTTCAGGTAAAATTACTGATTTCATCACATAATTAGGTAATGTTCATGTAATGTAACAAGTAGAAACAGAGGATTTGAATTTAATTTGTTAAGTGAATGCAGCGTGTTCGCGTTGCTGAGCCTTCACTTGTTCATGTATGGATGCAACCTGTTCGCGTGGAAAAGCACGAGGATCAACCACAACTTCATATTCGATTTCCAGGCGAGCACGGCCCTCAAGTACCGCGACGCTTTCCTCATCTGCACCTGCTTGATGACTGCTGTTGTCTCCGCTATGGTCATACACCTCATCCTCGTATCTACTGGCTTTGCCCCTCGTCAAGTCGACTTCATTCCTGGGATTCTCTTTCTGGTAAAACCATCCATTAGCCAGCTTCCTGCTATGATTCAAGATTAATTCTAAACTATGTTCCTCATGTTGATGCAGAGTTTTGTGGCTATCCTGATTTGTCCGTTGAACGTTTTCTATCGCCCAACAAGGTTCTCCTTTCTTGGCATCATTCGCAATATCGTGTGCTCTCCATTTTACAAGGTATGCTTGAGCGAAGATTCTACAATGTAAATATATATATAGTGCAAGTTTTAGGCCTAATGAAGTGATGTTGTGCAGGTTTTGCTTGTAGACTTCTTCATGGCTGATCAGCTGACCAGTCAGGTAGCTAGCTTCTTTGTTTTAGCTAACTTTCAACCTCGCCTTGTTCTTATCATCATCGAGCTTTTTATCTCTCAGGTTCCATTGTTGAGGCACATGGAATCAGCCAGCTGTTATTTCCTGGCCGGAAGTTTCCAGACACACCGCTACGAAACCTGCAAGTCTGGGAAGCTCTACAGGGAGCTCGCATATGCCATCTCCTTCGCACCCTACTACTGGCGTGCAATGCAGGTGTGTATGTATATACAATACAGAAGATGAGTACATATAATGTCATGCAATGACTATCCAATGTGCTGTGTTGCAGTGTGTAAGAAGATGGTTGGACGAATGTAATATCGACCACTTGATCAACTTGGGAAAATATGTATCAGCTATGGTGGCAGCCGGGGCACGGGTGACCTATGCCAGAGAGCCGTCGTCACAGCTATGGATGAGCATAATGTTAGTGAGCTCAGTTGTGGCCACGGTATACCAGCTGTACTGGGATTTCATGATCACCAAACAAACACACCCTTAGTTTCATTCAACATATTTTAATTTATTTTAATTAACTTTTTTTTTTAATGATGATATCTGACTTTTTGTCATTGTTGGCCTTTTTTTTTATTATTATTCCAAAGTATTATTGTGGAATTCATTATATTTTTTTAACATGATACTAACATTTTGTCTTTTCACTTCACCTGTTGATGTGGGAGACGATGTACTTTTATAAAATTATTTTAATTTTATGAAATATTATGTTAAAATAATGTTTTTTTAGTCTTGTTTCAACCTATTTTTTTTAAATTTTATAATAAATTAAACATAATAGTAGTATATTATTTGTTAGTAAGAATGTGTAGAATATTTTGATATGTTTGCTATTTAATACTTATTGTCTCACTTATTTGTTAGTTGTCTCACTTACGGTGTCCATTTTTCATTTATGTTTGTCCATTTATTCTGTTACTTTTTTTTAAAAAAAAAAATTTATACACTTTAATCATATGTTAAATTTTTTAATTTTAATTAGACTAATTGGTTATTTTCATTTTAATTGAAAATTATTTTTATTATACGATAATTATTTTCACTAATATATTCTTAATTATTAACTAATTATACCTCTCATAAATTCTCGTATCTACAGTAAACGGGACATGATAGCCGGGACGGATGGAGAAATATATTTGTAGTTTAAATAAAAGTGAAAAGTATTTTAATATTAGTGTATGATTATTTTTAGTGAAACAAAAAAAAAATAATATTTTTTAGTAGAACAAATAAAAATAGTAAAAATAGAATTTTGAATCGTATAAATATAAATTTAAATAAAATTGTTACGTATGGAATTTAGAATTAGGTTAAAAAGTCCAAGGTAAAAAAGAAAGATGGGCCTACCAATCGAGTTAATCGAACTGGTCGAGGGGCACCGTGGGAAACTCAGGTAAAATAGATATAATTCTAAGGAAATAGCGGGTCGGAAGGTCCGCAGGTCGGAAGGTTCTCAGGTCGGGAGGTCCGCAGGTCGGAAAGTCCCCAGGACGGAAGGTCCGCAGGTCGGAAGGTCCTCAGGTCGGGAGGTCCGCAGGTCGGAAAGTCCCCAGGACGGAAAGTACCCAGGTCGGAAGGTCCTCAGGTCGGGAGGTCCTCAGGTCGGAAAGTCCCCAGGACGGAAGGTCCGCAGGTCGGAAGGTCCTCAGGTCGGGAGGTCCGCAGGTCGGAATGTCCCCAGGACGGAAAGTCCCCAGGACAGAAGGTCCGCAGGTCGGGAGGTCCTCAGGTCGGAAAGTCCTAAGTCGGGCAGTCCGCAGGTCGGGCGGTCCTCAGGTCGGGAGGTCTACGACTGGACTAACAAGTCGGATGGTCTGTCAGTCGGGAGGTTGGCAGCTGGACCAAACAAGTCGGTTGGTCTTTAAGTCGGAAGGTTTGTGGCTGGACCAAACAAGTCGGATGGTCTGCAAGTTGGGAGGTTGGCAGCTGGACCAAACAAGTCGGTTGGTCTTTAAGTCGGAAGGTCTGCAAGTCGGGAGGTTGGCAGCTGGACCAAACAAGTCGATTGGTCTTTAAGTCGGAAGGTTTGCGGCTGGACCAAACAAGTCGGATGGTCTGCAAGTCGGGAGGTTGGCAATCGGACCGATTGGATATAAGAGTTGCGTTCGGGCCAAAAGGGCGAAAGGTCTGCGGTCGGCTCAAAGGTTGAATAAGAGTGATAATTTCGGTCGGCTGAGGGCACGTGTCAGTAGGAGAGGGGTTAGCAGACTGTTGAAGGAAAGCGTTATAACCGTTTAGGCTACGGTTGTCAGCACCGTTTCTAAGGAGTATTTAAGAATTTGGATTTTTCTGGAAAATTTATCTTCAATCAACTTAAACAAAACAAAGTCAGATTCGGGATCACCACTTTAAATTTCCAGCATTTTAATTTCTAGTTAATTTTCTTATTGTACTGTACAGTATTTAAAAGATTCCTAATCTCAAGGCACTAATTAATCAAGTTCGAAGATATTTCCTTATTTTCGGATTTTACTTTTTGTTTGTTGAAAAAATACATCAACAAAAATAAATCCAATTATATTAAAGATGCATGGAATATATTTTTACAAGTATATTAATTAAGTAAAAAACTACTCCTTCCATCTTAGTAAAAGTGTCTATGTTATTATAGATATGAGAATACAGAAAAAAATGTAAATAATTAAAAAATGTATTACTAAAAATAATTGTTGTATAATATAAATAATTATAAATTAATATTAAAATAAATAAATAATTTAATTAAGATTAAAAAATTGTAATTATGAAATTTAATAGGTGATTTAAGTGTATGATCATTTTTCAAATAATAAAATTGACAAATTATATGCGACGGACGAAAATGAAAAATATGAATATTTTTAATGGAAGACAAGGAGTATAATTTTTTTTTATAAAAAGTATTAAATTATACTCATATGTCATTAAAATAAATTCACATTCCCCTTGTAAAAATACAAAAAGAATGATAACATATTTGAATGATAAAGATAGTAATAAATATACATAGAACAATTAAGTTGTGTTTATAAAATTTTACCCTCAATTTTTATTATTTATAATTTTTTTCAAAAATATTAAATCAAATATATATTTATTATAATATTATATTAAAATTTAAATTTAATTATAATAAAAAATATTATTATCCATTTACATTAAATCAAATAATTATTTTAATTAAAAATTTCTCATTTAAAAACCAAAGACAACTTTTAAAGCAAAGACCAGACCAACACACTCTTATATATTCAATTGTAAATGAAATGTGTTAATTACGTAATTCGATAGTGTAAATTTTTTCTTATCTGCCAATTATCATTGTAACTAATACATGTCTTGAAGTGAAGTTCATATCCCTCAAATCCAAATTAACCCTATTTAATTTTTATTTTATGTTGCCCATGTTTTTGTATTTAAGGGGTTTTTTTTTTTTTTTTTCTTTATATTATTTTTTATTGGTGACTCTATAGATACATATTTTATTTAAGATTTTTCATTGATTGATAGAATTATTATTGTATATGTTGATGCATTCTTTCAGCAATGAAAAAGTAAAATTCGAAAATAGGGAATTATCTTTGAATTTGATATATTTAGCGCCTGAGATTAGGAATTTCTAAACACTGTACGGTACATAAAATAAACTCGAAAGTAAAATACTGGAAATTTAAATGATGATCCCCGAATAACTGACTTTGCTGTCGTTTGAAGATGATTGAAGATACCCTGTCGATTGCAAATCTCAATCTTTAAATATCCCTCAGAAACGGTACTTAAAACCGTCGCCCGAACGGTTACAACGCCTCTTCTCAACCGTCTCCTAACTCCTCTCTTGCTGACGCGTGCCCTCATCCGACCAAGCTATTATTCTTACTCGCTTTCCTCAGCGCCCGACCTTCACAACAACCCACAATTCACTTATCCAATTGTGGATCAACCAACTTGCCTATCTGACCACAAACCAACCGACTTTTTGGTCCAGCCGCAAACCTCCCGACTTGCAGACCATCCGACTTGTTGGTCCGACCGCAAACCTCCTGACTTGCAGACCACCTGACTTGTTGGCCCGACCACAGACCTCCTGACTTGTACATTGTCCGACCCAGTGACCGCCCGACCCACAGACCATCCGACTTGTAGACTGTCCGACTCGAAAACCTCCTGACCTGCAGACCTTCCGACCGGCAAACTGTCCGCCCTGCGGACCTTCCGACCGGCAAACTGTCCGATCTGGGAACTTTCCGACCTGCGGACCTCCCGACCTGCGGACCTTCCAACCGGCAAACTGTCCGCCCTGCGGACCTTCCGACCGGCAAACTGTCCGATCTGTGGACTTTCCGACCTGCGGACCTTCCGACCTGTGGACCTTCCGACCCGCGGACCTTCCGATCTGCAGATCTCCCGACCTGCGGACCTTCCGACCCGCTATTTCCTTAGAAATACGTCTATTTCACCCGATTTTCTCGAAACACCGCTTGATCAGTCCAAGAAACCCAATTGTAAGCCCATTCCTTCTTCTAACTTGGGCTTCTTAACCTAATTATCAATTTCATACGTAACAACTTGCCCGCCGCCATCGGACTTTCAAACGTCATTCCTCAATCGCCGTTTGGAAGTGCGCAGTATATATACAACCATACCTCTTTTGTGGAACCGTCTCTGCAACTTCGATCAGTTACTGCAACACATTCTGTGCCACCAAACTCTTCGCCCTCACTCTTAGCCGTCATCATCTCTACAACTCCAGAAACATGGCGAATCAATACATACCTGCACTTCCCTTCGACGGATTAGTCCTTGAAACAGCTTTTGTGGCAACAAAAATGCTCACTCCAACCATTCGCCCATATTGCACTACCCCTGAAGACTCCAATCGAATGAGAGAGATCTTGGAGGCAGGAAATCTACTAGCTATCAACAATCCCAACTTCAATGCCATCCGTCTTCATGATAGCATCAAAACTCATCTGACAGATTCCAAAGATCCCTACCGTACCTGGTACAAACGGGTAGCAGAACACTTCCAAGATCAATGGAAAAACCAACAGATCGACCAGGCCATATTTCTGTCTACACTCCCATGCCATTTACATGAGAAGGTTCCTTTAGCAATGGCAGCGTTCTGGCACCCCGAGATGTGCGCCTTCTTTCTTCCAACAGCCCCCATCGGCCCTACCCTCATGGATGTGGCCATGATCGCACATCTGCCAATCGTGGGAGAAGACCTTGTAATGGGTGCCCTAGATAGGCAAGAGCCCAATGCAGACCATTTGGGCTGGTCGCTGGCTGGCGTTAAGGAATGGGGTTGGACCAAATTTTTAAACGACCAGCGAGGAGCAGACGGGATCCCTGTGACTGATCGGGAGCATACAGCCATCCTGCTCTTTTGGCTCTGTAAGTATGTCGTAATTTCCCCTTCAAAATGTGTCCTTCCTTCTCACCTTGACCTAGCTATACATATAGCCTCGGGTCATTTCTTTTTGTTGGGCACTCTCTTCCTTGCCAATCTTTTCGAAGGACTGTCTAGAGTTAGCACCCGTCTTACAGATAAGAATGGTAAAAAGTTAGATACCGCTGCATCAGGTCCTTTTTGGTTTTTGGAATTATGGTTCCGTCTCTACTTCCCTGAAGCATTTCAACTCGGCCATCCCCCTGTTGCTCCACCACCTGACAAATCTCTAGGAATAGCCCTTAACCGACTTTGTTTAGGTCGCAGCAACCTCCAAGCATCCGACCCTATCATA